GGTGATTTTAGTGCATTAGAAACTAGCAAATAGGAATGTGATTTATGGGTTTAGAGTGGTTTTGGATGATTTATGTAGAGGTGGGCTGTATGTAAAAGATATGCTAGATCAAATAGGGTGGACAAAATTAGTAACTAGAAAAGTGAAGGTTTGCCTGTAATTGATCAAGATTTTTTTATGCAAATTTGAGTGCTTTGGAGGATAGAGTGTATAGAATAATCATTCTTAAGAAAAATATTGAATTTAATACTGAAACCATAAATTATGTTCTACATTTGTCAAATGAGGGAGCCCGGGAATTAGATGACTTTATGGAGGGATTGGCGAAGAAATTTATCATGGGGGATGATTCGAATGAGGTAGAAATGTTAACCATTCACCCCTTGAATTTGGAACATCAGTTAATGTTTTAGATTTACAATCACATTATTTTGCCAAGGCAAAGGTCATTTGGAAAATTTAGTGGTCTGAATTGTATGTGGTTTGATTATATTCTTAATCAGATATGGATCAATTTAGGATACCATATGATGAGGCATATGGTGTATTATAGGACGAGATCGACACTCGCACTAGTGTACTGAACTCTCATCACATTAATTATGGAAAATGTGAGGGTTGATTTGCATGGTATAGAGTCCTGAGATCTCTACAATCACGAGCTTCTCATCACCACTTCCCTAATAAAATGAGTTATGTATTCAGTGAAAGAACAAACTCTTGGCAAATGAAGCAAAAAAAGAAAAGAAGAGGATAAGATAATGAAGGTAAGGGGTTTGATGATAAAGAAAAGGCCAAAGAAATTGAAGAAGTAAGTCCTTCACAAGCTGCTTCATCTCGAGTTCCTTAGAAAATAAGCACAAACAAAGGAATTCAGCTCATTCTCAAGAGACTTGAGCAGATTGACAAGAAGCTTGATGATCACATTCGAGAGTGTCGGATGGCAGCACCTTTTAATCCTCAAGCAACAATGGGAGATCCGTCTACTATTGGCACATCATTTGGATAGTAACCTACTAATCCCTCTTCACATCCAAAAGCATAAATCCTCATGTTCCAATTGTTGATACCCTTTAAATTTTCATTTTAGTATTTGAACCCTATGTTTCAAAGGTTTCTTAATGTCTTTTGTGTTTTTATTTTTGTATATATACATATAATGTTGACATTAGATGCAGTTAATTTGAATGCCTTTTTATAAATGTATCTATCATGATTAAGATAATTTTGTCTCGGTTGATTATGTTCTTGATATGCTTCCATTGAGGGGGAGTAATTTGTTAATTCATAGTGTGCATGAATAGCATTTTTGTTTGCCGTTTAAAAGGTTGATGTGCATGTGTTCAGGAGGAGCTTAGGTTGTTATACTTATGTCCTTTTTGATGAATGACAAAAATGGGGAGAAAGGTTGATGAATTTTTATGATTTACTGTTATTTATGGGAGGTATATGTGGTGAAAATTTGGTGGATGGATTTTGTTTGCATGAATGCATGGCTTGAAACCCTAAACACTTTATTTGAGCTTGTCGCTTGAAATTTGGAGCTACACAAAACTTGTATCAAGTGGTTTACAACTTTAAGATCTTGTCTTGCATATTAATTTGGACTATGTAATTAGAAATTTAACAAATGAAAAAATTTCGAAGAAAGGTTTTGATGATAACTAAACCCCTTAAGATGTTTAATGAATTGAAGTTTAAGTGGGCAATTAAAAAGTCCTGCATTAGATTAAAGGAAAATCTAGAAAACTACAAAAATGGGTTGAAGAGTCGAATATAGCACTCTATATTCGACTCTTCAAGCAAGAAGCTTCAACTCTAGTTTCCACATTCAACTTTGGAGCAAAATATGGAGAATGTGCATTGTAATTCAAAGTTGCATCTATCAATCTAGATTTGACTCTTGAGGCATCCAGACTCAACTCTAAGAGGTCAAGAGTTGACTCCCAAATTCTAGTTAGTTGAGAAATCCTTGGGTGCATGTCATAATCAACTCTCTATGTTAAGAGTTGACTCTTGATGCTTTAGAGTTGAGAGTCGACTCTAATTTGTAAGATTTGACTCTTGGATTGAAGGGGGTTCTCAAAGTCATAGTACTTATTTTAGCAACATATTTCTTGTTACTAATAGTTTGGTTGCAATTATCACCAACATAGATTATGTCGGTAAATCTCACTTTCACCAACATAGCAAGCAACCATGTTGCTGATTATTGCTTGCTAAAAATATAGAAATTCTAACTAGAATAATAGCAACGTGGGTTTTGTTGGTAATGCTTCAACTGATCGAAAAATTACAGCAACATGCCCCTTGTTGCTGATGTTTGTTTCAGCAACATACCCCTTGTTGCTAAATGTGAAGCTCACTTGTAGGTTGGAAGATGTACTATGGAAGTATCAGCAGCATAGTCCTTATAGGTGAAAATCTATATCACTGATAAACAATCCTATGTTGCTAATAATTAATTGCTAAAAATGAGAATTTTAGTAGTGGGAGGAACTACACCAAAATTAAATATTGTGCTCATAAAATTCACTAATATACCTTATAATTATATTTACAACATGATAAGTCTTAATAACACCGCACAACAAAGGCATTTTATGTCATACTAGCTTTCATTAACTTAACACCCCACACAATTTCTAGACATTCACATTATTTATATGTCTAGGTTATTTAATTAAAATTCATAAGCTAATATACATTGGTTATTTAGGTGCTCAATTGTAACGTTCTCCTTCTCAATTATGTATTTGACTATATGGTGCCCATGTGATTTTAAATTTTTACTGACACACAACCAACAAAAGTTAACTAATAACTCTGTTAAATATAATATGTCCTCAATAAAACATAATTATATGTCCCTATAATGTCAAAAATCTATGTAGAAAAGTAAAATATAAGGACAATAATTGGTACATAGTTTAGTTCAACATACTGTATAACACATTCATTAAAAAATTATTATTTTTTAACCTAAAATTGAAAGCAGACTAATTTAAAGATACAATTACCCCCACATGATATAGAAACCAACTAAATCAGCTATATTTATATTATATTTTTAATAGTTAAACCAAAAGTTTATCAAAAAAATATGTTAAATTGAGGGTATACAAATCATTTTTCAAAATATAAATATAGCTCAAATGATCACTCAAGTCACTTATTAACTTTACAAGTAATATATATATATATATATATATATATCTCACGCATATTGCATAATACTCACAAGGCATATATATTATTAAAATTATAATAATACTTACCCGCAAGAAACTTACATACAAGTGACACCAGAAAAGTACTCCCACACTGTTTCAAGGAAAATAATACAATGTTAACCTCACATGAAATTAAACATCTATGCGTTAAGTTCTTCATTTTTAAAGTATGATATGTTAATAAAACTTTTAAGATTAACACATAATTAGCTCATTGTTGGGATGAGTTAAATTTTGGTTATTGAAGGCTGTACGGTCTAGATATGATATGCTTTTGTTTGAATACTTTACTAAAGAGATACTAGACACGTACAGGCACGAATGTCCATACATTTACATTTGGCAAGCCCACAAACAAAATAAGTGCAAGTTATGATATAGGCAATATCAGAATGTGTATATTTTTTTCCCTTAATTTTTTATTCAAATTTAAGAGAAAAATTTTATGAAATTTATATACAATTAATATTCAATTATTTATGCCAACGACTTAAATAATTTAGTTGTAATCTCATTTCGCTGGAAAAAAAAAATCATGAGTTTGAATCATATAACATACGGGTGAGACGAAATAAGTTAAGAGATAGAAAAAAGTTACCTCTTATTGTGTAATCAATATAAATAAAAAAAATTCAATTATTTACAAATAACACAAAATATGAGATTCTTATGAAAAATTCACTTTATTCACATGGTCTTCCTCTAAATTGAAAGTATGATTATTACTTTTGAAGATCATTTATAAATATAGTATTATATTCAGAAGGTAATAAATCTTTTTTTATTTAATAACTCTCAATAATTTTAGTTGACTTGTGTTGATAGATGTTTTTTTTTTTCTCGGTAAAAAGTCAAACTTGGACTCGGGTAGTTTCCACGTCACCAAGACCCGCCTTGATTTGAGCACCCAAACAAAATGCTTTCAACATACATTTACATGGCTAGACCTAGTGATATCTAATGTTACAGCACATGGCTAGGCCTAGCAATATCTGATGCTATAGTATATGGTTACATCGCCAGAAATACAAAAGAAGTCTCAACGGTTTCTAATGCTGCAGTACATAGCTGCATCGCCAAAAATGCAAAAGAAGTCCCAACAATATCTAATGCTGCAGTATATAGCTGCATCACCAAAAATACATAAGGAAGTCTCTTTCCTTTATTATTTCTTTATCTATTAAATTTCATCATTTTCATCAACTGATCACTATTCCTTTATGCAGGTCATCAATAAACCCAAGAATCCAAGCTCATGGGGATATTCGGGATAAACTATGGGAGTAGTAGCTTGGCAGGCATGGATTGGTGAGCGTTGCTTATTTGGCAAAGCGAGGTATTCGCTCCAACAAAGCTTGGCACCAACAATGTTGCCCGACTTCGCTAAAAAGGGCTGGGTGGAGAAAGGGCTAGGTGGGGAAGACATGGAGGCAAACTTGATCCCCAAAACTATACAGTTTGATGCTAACGAAAAACTTGGAATCTCCTTCAAAACCAACCAAAGATGCTGTTTTAGTCACCATCAACAACTTGTAGCCATATTCAATGCAAAGGTCGCTGCACAATGCTGAAAACTGCTAAAAAGGGTGGCTACACAAGTTCCCTAGCCTTGGGAACTGTTGAAAAATATCTGATTTCACTGGGAAAATCAACCAAAATATTGGTCAGACCTTGAAAATATACCAATATCTTGGGTAGCCTTTAGGAATCTTCCAAAATCTTAGACAGACTTGATTTTGCGGGTTGCACTCAAGCACCTCCCCAAAAATGAAATTTTGTATGGCCAGAGGAATTCTCAAAAATAGGCAGTTTCCAGTTCATCATTAGAACCAACGAAACTTCGTTAGAACCACTGGGTAATTCATAATATCATTGTCAAAAGCTGTCAGCCATGCCCAGAATGACTCAAAGCTCGACAACTCACCCAAATTTACCCATTAGACCACTATGCACATCTGACCCATCAACCCAAAAATGACAAAAATGCCACTGCATATATATATTATTTTTCCTTTATTTTTCAACAAAACAGACAAGATTTTTCACAACTTCAGCTTCCCTCTCACGTACCAGACCTCATTTCTTCCTCTGAAAAATACTTCATCCTCACCCACTCACTCTACACACTGAAATTACCTAGAAATCACCATTTTCTTCATATTTTCTACACTTCCAGCACTGCTGAATAATTTCCAGACTTGCAGAACATCATGGTTGAGAGACAGCATACTGCAGATTCATTTTCTGGGTTATCTTAATCAACATCAAAGGTTCAAGCTGAAGAGTTGGCATAAAAAACGAGATCAAGTCCTCCACTCACAAGACCCCAAGATGATCATCCTTCCTTCTCCCATCACTACTTTCAAGTTTATTCTTTTGTTCTTGAGAAAGCTTCAAAAGAAGAATTGTTGTACTTCACATTTGCACCATGAGAGTTGCTCATTATAGAGTGGGAGTATTTATTAGAGACAATAGAGGGCACATTCATTGTCATTATTATTATGATACAATACTCTATGTATAAATATGCTCCTCAAGTTGTAATCTTTGATCATCATGTATTTTTCATCCTTGATGCTCCTACCACAATGTATATTTCCTTTTTATATTTTTTGGTAGTTGTGTAATCATTCCCAGTTCCAATATCTAACTCTTTTGACTTCGCTAAAGAAGGTTCACTCTCAAACTCTGCTGGAGGCATCAATTTGGCTGGAGACGCTTTATTCCCGAGCTTCGCTAGGGAAGCTTTATTTCCAAACTCTGTTGGAGAAGTGTTATTTCTGGACTTCACTAGAAAAACTCTATTTTCGGACTTCACTGGAGAGACTATTTCTTGACTTCGTTGGAGAAACTTTACTTCTAGACTTTGCTGGAGAATTTGCTGCTGACCAACATCACTGGACATCTTGGAACTCTGTCGTTGTTGCCAGCTCTCCTTCTTAGCTTGGCTAGAAAACTTACACCTTCAAACTTTGCTAGGGAATTTGCTGCTGACCAACATCGCTGGGCGAAACAAGACGACCTATGACACATAGCCTCTCGCACGTGAAACGGGTGCCGCCAAAAGGACCCTCCTCATCATTCACAGGTAGCATCCTAGTCAACCTCCACATCATCACCACTACTAACTCATCAACCTACATCACCAGCACACCCCCAAACAACTTGTAGATAACATAGGTCACATAGAAGAGAATACACAAATCTTTTATTGAGATTTAAACCATATTACCAAATCCATATGATCTTATAAATAAAATCGTAATTTTAACAACAATAGGGAATAGAGATAGAATTTTGCACAATCAAAAGCATTTTTTTCAAGAGCAATGCTAG